AGCCTATATTTTTATATATATATATATATTTATATATATATATTTATATATATAAATATATATATATATCCTCCCATTATTTATAATGCATTAATAGAATAAGAATGGGGAACTTCACCATGCATGTATCCCAGAAATTAATGGAAGACACTTGTTTAGTGTCCATGACAAACCCTGTCCTGAATCTTGGTGTCTTCATTTGCCTGACTTTGCTTCTAAAACAAGTCATTAGCTTTCCACTACTGTTTATAAAGTGTGTTTTAACTCTAGAGATATTCCTAAAACCAGTCCCTTCGTTCCTTGTGCTGTCATACTGAATCTGCTTATCTGGTAACTGTATTTATGAGTACAGTAATTGCCTATTATATTAATACAACATATACATTCAAAATTTGAAATTGTTTAAATAGATAGAATTGGACAGATGTTTATCAGAACTGTCCCTTACTTTAGAATGCTGATAAAATAATATGTAATAGTGGGATGAGTAAGAAAAAAGCTGAAGATACTGTACCAGCAACTTTAGAACAAAGAATATTCTAATGCAGCCTCCCCCGACTGATATCATCTGTCATCAGTTCCAATCAGCAGAAAATTATTCTAAAATGTAATTGAGTTCTGTAGTTTATTTTTATAGCTCTGTGAATTGGTTACATAAATTTTGTGGCTATTCATAACAAAAGGGAAGACTGCAACTGTATAAACATACCATACACTTGAACATATTTAACATATTATTGTAAAGTAGACTAGAATAATCATATGCCTGTTTACTAAAAAGTAAGTTCCACTGTGTGCAGTAGTTTATTCCAGATAATTAAATGTTCATTACAATTGCTTAAAAGCTTGCAAATTGCCATTTTATCAAATAATCATTTTTATTGAATATATTACTTTAGGGCAACAGGGTTTTTGAACTTTTTAATTTTTTTCCTGAAAACTTTTACATCTAATATGTATTTCAAGCATCAATATGTGCTATTTCTTCTCCAGGGGTAAATTTCAATGAATGACTATAGCTGTGTGCTTTTTATTTGAGTCTATCCCATTCAGAGTGAAAGTGTAAGAGCAGAACTTCTATAATAATATCGCATTAGGTGAGAGAGGTTCCCTTTCTTATTTTACCTCTTTGCTGTCTTGTCCAAAGAAGTATTTTTTTCTATATCAGCTTGAAATATAGGATGAGGGAGAAGCTGTATGAAACCATAGAATACAGGAGATGAGATGTGATATAATCTCCTTTCACCAGTGTGGCATTTCCTAATTTAAAAATCACACTGATTTTTATATGTAAATGTGGCAGATATAAAAAGAAACAAACATTGCTGCATCACATCTGCACTCTAAATTTCTACCTAACTCAATGCATACTTTCAAAAATTAAAGCTTGCCTTTGGCTGTATTTTACTCTTGCTTTAAAAAGTTATGTCAGTTTAGCTATTAACCTTCTTAATTAAGATAGAGAGGTTTGGGGTGAGTTTCACAGTAGCAGAACTGACAAACCAAGTTTGTTTCCTGGGCCATAAAAGGTGGTGGTTTTAATTCAAAAGTTATCCTATTAGGTAACGTTTCTTTATACCACACTGAAGTTTAGAATACTGTGTTAGGAGGTAGTTGGGTCAGTCCCCATATGCTTCCTATAGATCTGGGACTGGTCTAACTGCATCTCCTCATTTGTATGTGTATTTGACAGCAAGGAGGGAATATTGGAATATTTTCTTTAACAGAAAATGGAGTTGTCAGGACTGCCTCCAAAGACCATTCTGATATGAGGAGAAAGTGATGACTCTTCTGGACCAGGGCTTTTGAGAAATTTAGGGAATCATGGCCACATGTCAGAGAAGAGCTGGAGATGAATGCTTCTGCAGAAACAGTTGGAAATGAAGACCGTTTAGAATCCATGTCCCCTCCCCACAATCCTACAGAGCAAAGATTACTCAGGCTATGACACAATGAATGGCTGTATTCTTCAGCGGCTGGTGGAACTGAAGGGCATGCAGCATTTTATACTGAAAAATAATATATAACTATACATGAATAATAGTAATTAATAACTTATTTTCCATGAATTGGATGTTTTCCAGGAAACTCTGGTTAAGGAATGACTGAGAAATATATTTAAAAAGGAAGGGTCAGGTGATAGAATTTCTAGAGAATATGCAAGGATCTTTTTTTTTTAAAAAAAAAAGTTATATGGAGGCATATCTCACTAAGAAGCCCTAATGTGATGTGTTTGTTTGCATTTGTTGTATAAAACCAGTCAGTTACAGTGGGGCAAAAAAGTATTTAGTCAGCCACCAATTGTGCAAGTTCTCCCATTTAAAAAGATGAGAGAGGC